TTAAACCCAAAGTAAAATCATTGCAATAAATACCTCCTTGGGAGTCCAAAATGCCTGGTCCAATTCCTATTTCTCCCAACATAGAGAAAAAGCCGAGAATGCTAAGAACCCTACAAAATTCATTCCTCTTGGAACAGAGCAGGTTCTTAATCTGACTCGTGCCTAGAAATACAGGAGATGATGAATCATTATCTACGAGCTCTAGTGAATTCATTTCTCTTGTCAACATAGCCAAGTTTGGAAGTGAAAAATGCACTAGAGGGCCACCTAGTGCAAGAGCAAAGGTTATTGAGCATTCATATTCAAACGTTAGACTTAACGACATCAGACCCAGACCACAAAATTTTTAACTTTCAGTCCTATACAAACTAAGGGTTCACTTTTTAAGACGAGTATATGACATGAATCGCTTTACCAAAGAGATTAGGATGCCCGAATTTTACTTTAATAAAACTTTATCCACTGAAGTTCAAAGCTGGGGACCTCAACCCATTAGAGCCCAAGTTCTGAGAGTATACTAGCAAGAGCTCAGGGAATGGGATTTTAATCCAGATGAGAAATTCTGAAACTTTTTAACCAATGTTCATTCATCCAAGGCTTGAAACCCCGCTAAACTAAAACAAAAAATAAAAGAACAGGTTCAGATCAGTAGCTTTAAGTGGAGAGAGTTGCTTCTGTGGAAGGTTCTCTAAACTTATGTTGAAGGTGTCCCCAATAACTTCCCCAAATTTTTAGTTATAGATTCAAACAAGCAAAAAATGAATAATTTCAATATATGGGGAGAGAAATATATTGATCTACACCAACTGCATGAATGCAGAACCCGCAAAATCCTCTTTCAAGGCTAAAGTTTATAATCCAGCTCTTGATATTTGTAGATGCAAACCCCAAATAGTGTACCATAATAATTGAAATGTCACATGCACAATACAATTAACATAGAATTGGGACTTTACAGATTACATAAACAGTACAGTTAAGTTAGAGCTCTAACATGGCAAGGCCAATGATATTAATGCATAGGGTTTTCAGTCAATCATGGCTTGCTGCATGTGAGATCACTGGGAATATATTCAACTCTCTCCTAAAGAATGGAAGCTCATAGGCAGTGTTAGTGACAGTCTACCTTACATGCAGGATGAGCTGAGGCTCCAGATCCAAGTCATTCAGCCTGTTGCACTGAGGTTTGGGGCCCTTACCCAAGAGACTCCAATCATAATTTACCAAAATGATGATATTCAAAATGCGCTGAGTCTTCTAAGATGCAAGCTCATACCCAAACACACCAATTAAGAAATAAGAATAGAAAAAGAAAGAAACCACATCCTCTATCAAGGATCCCTACGAAATATTTATGTGAAGGAATTTTTGGATCATGCAAAGGGGTCCTCACTACCAATTCTCATCTCCCATTATTATATGTCATCATTACTAGGGTATTGCTCCCTAATCACTAGATGCCAAAAAATAACACTACATACTTCAAGTGATCTCCTGAATTTCAAAAATAGCGACATTGCTTATTTCTTCACAGACAACTGCAAAATCCCAGGATTTATTAAAAGAAATATATGTAGAATGTGGCACAACTAATAAAAATCAATCTCTCCCACACTTCCTCTGTGTGTGTGCAGAGGTCGGTTGAGGGCGACTTTTATAGATGATAAATATCCATAGAAATGAATAAACCAACCATATGCCTCATTATAATTTTAATGTATTGGACATATTTTATACAGTTTCAACTTTTTGACTATGGGTTAGTTCTTTAGATATAAATATCATGATTGCATGGACACATGACATATACATACCTATATACACATAGGTGCACACAGACAACACATGCATGGTGAGGACCTCACTCCCTTTCAAATTTCCACCCTTTTCATTGCTTTTTAAATGTGAACAACAGGTAGAGCATTTACATGTTATTCTGAGAGGGCAGTTATGACCAAGCTTAATATATTCCTGGTATTCCCTTCCTAGGAATCTCATTTAGTCAGTACCAACATGAGGGCTCTCCCAGAGCGTGTTTGGTACCAGGTCTCCATTTGGACTCGGCAGTTTCTAGCTCCAGACCATCAACTTCTGATTTCATTTGAGCTCATGTGGCTCGAAGACAGAAGCCTGGCACATCTAATCAAAAGCCGGTGGTCCTCCATCCAAGTTCAAGGGTGGCAGAGCTACAGATTGTGCAAGAAGCTTCAGGTCCTTAAGAGAACCTTAGGAGCTGGAACAGTGAACATTTCAACAGCTTGCAGACTAAAATGGCCAAGTCATCCAGAAACCTGGGCCATTTGGACAAGATGGAAGAGAATGAGATGCCTCTTCTCCAAGAGGAGGACAAAAGGAGACCTGATATAAGGGTATCTCTAAAACGTTCCTCAGAATGGAAGGCATATTCTTGCAGCAGAGATCAAGGGTCAAATGGCTTAGAGAGGGGGAGGACAGCAACACCAAAATAAGCCACACAATTGCCAGCTCTAGATTAAGGTCAAATAATACAGAGGGGCTCAAACTAAACAGGAAATCAAACCCAAGATACGGCAGCGACAAAAATGGCAATCGTCAGCCATAGCAGGCTTTGAGAGCTGAGCAGAAGTGGGCAAGGAACATCAAAGCGGCACCGTTCAATAACCTTTCCCCTGAGAGTGCCAATTGGCTGGAAAGGCCCTTTGAAGTGGAGGAGATCAAGGAAGCAGTTTTTAGTTTGGGAAGAGATAACGTCCTTGGACCTGATGCTTTTCCATGTTCTTCCAGGAGTTCTGGGATTTAACCATGGAAGAGCTTCTATTGATGTTCGAGAAATTCTATCAGATCAGCAAGGTCAATATTGTGATGAATGCCTCATGATACACTTGGGACTGAAGAAGAAAGGCATTGAGGCCATCAATGACATTCGGCCCATCAGCCTCCTTGATAATCAATAGGAAATTATAGCCATAGTCTACGCAACTAGGTGAGAACAATCCTAGGATAGGTTATAACCCCCCACAAATGACATTTGCGACAGATTTTTTATAGCATCCTGGTTGCACATGAGTGCATCCACTCAAGGCACACTGACAGGCAGCCAAGGCCACATGCAAGTAGGATTTGCAGAAAAGTCAATGATAGAGTTGTTTGGGACACCTAAAAATATCATGCTATTATTGGGGTTTGGGCGTAATTGAAGACATTGGATTGAGTGTTGCTTGTCAATGGCCACTTCTTTGTATGGGTTATTGGAAGCCCAAAGGGATTCTTTAAGGACACCAAGGGAATTATGGAAGGGGTCCCCCTCTCGCCCTTCTTGTTCCCAATTGTGACAGTCCTTCAACATGATTGTACAGGCAGTATATGGTAACGATTTGTTGGAGATGAAGATCTCTCAGCATCGGCAATGGGGAGCAGAGGCTGCTCTGACCAATTTCCCGCCTACTTTATATCCATCTACCTTACCTCAGCCTCAATAGCTAATACCCTTAAAGTTTAATGAAGTTGATCTTGTGGACAGGCTCGGGGGACAGCCGAATGTACCATCTAGTAAGAAGGAACGTGGTATGTCACCTGAAGAAAGAAGCTGGTGTGGGGTTTAGAGCTAAAAGAAACGAATCAGGATCTGTTAACAAAGTGGCGGTGGAGATGTGGGCATGAGCCACTTCATCTGTGGGAAAAAAAGTGGTTACGAAGAAATTGAGTTGCTGATTCAGGCAGTTTAGTAATGGCACAATGAGGTAAAGGTAGGCTATCATGAGTGTGAAAGAACTATCAATTAGATGCGAACCCTCTTTTGATGCTCAAACCAGACTTTTGTTAGCCAATGGCAGACCTACCAATAACCAGACTCAGAAGTGGCTTCTGGACAGGCTCCTATGCCCCTATCTGGAACTATATGTATTAGCCTCATGGCACAACATCATAGTTGAAGAAGCATGTTTGCGTATTGGTGCGAAACCAGAAGGACAAGAGTCCTAGCATCGGAGGCACAGAGACCATGAAGCTGCTGCTTTTGTTCAATTACAGTGTGATCTCTTCAATTTTCACTACTGCCCTACTAGAGAAAAATTAAGTTGGGAACTAGACCTCGACGGTGAGTTCTCTATGAAATCATGTTACTCTCTGGTTTCAGGCTAGGGAACTCAGTGGCTCACTCCACGTTGAGATTCAGGAACCACACAAAGACTCAGGCTTTTACCTTGGCTGGGGTTTTGGACAAGGTCCTCATTGTTGATCATCTTAAAAATAGAGGGATGCATGTTATGAACATATATCTCGTGCAATAAAGGTGCAGAAATGGCAAGCCACTTGTTCTGACATTACCCTTTGTCTTTTAAGGTCTGATTTTGTGTGCTGGGCATGTTTCATTTACAGTGCGTTGTACCCGAATTGGTTAACTCCTTGTTTACCCAAATGGCTATCCCTGTAGCTTCTGAAATAGGGCCACTTTCAATGGGATTATTGCTACTAGCTACACTTTGACACTTTGGCTAGTCAGAGCCAATAGGCCTTAGAAGAAGTTCAGACCGGCGTTTCCTAAATTACACGTAAATTGCGGCCACTATGATTTCCTGGGCCAAGCCAATAAAGAATTGTTAGAAAAGTTCACTGATTTAGAAGCCTACGCCAAAGATATCGCCATAATCATCTTCCGAAGAGGAGTAGACCGTACGGATGGCTCTCCTTCCCTTCCTTGGTAGGGGCCCTGAAACTCAATTTTAACAGTAGCACCAAAGGTAACTCGGGTGGCTGGCCTCCTTGGAAATCTGTGTGTCAGACTTGTGTGTTGCTACTTGGGACTACTCCTGGGCACCGTTTTAATAAGGCCACGGCCCACTCGCTACTACAAGGCCTTAGGATATTGCAAAATGTTGACATAGGGTCATCATTGAGGGGGATTCCTAAAAACATGGTCCAGTGGAGCAGCAGGGAAAAGTCCTGCCCCCGGGAAATTAGAAAGGTGCTTAACAAAATTTGTTAGAGGGTACAAGAGCTTGAGGGAGCGAAAGACACATACATATTTCAGATGCATGGATTTTCATTTCAAAGGTTGCCCAAAACAAGGGCTTATGACTTTACACATTCATATAAACACTATCACCTTAACAGTTCTAGCCCATCTGTTCTCATTGCACACAGTAAACAAAAAACTTTGAACCTTTAGGTTCCTACATACCACAGTTTCCCAACAAAAAAAAAAAGTATAGTTAAGTGAATACCCTTCGACATACAAATTCAATAATAAATTACATCTCCCAGCTTCCAACTACCCCGAACAAATATTTCCATAATCCATGTATAGAGCAAGGAAAAGCATAACTTATAGACAATTATAACATCGGCCATGTAACCCAAGTTCAAAGCTTGAATGTACCTTGGTCAAACTTGTTGATTGGGCACATAAGCACCAGTATTTTACTCAGAAAACGTAAAGGAAGGCAGCTTCTCAGTATTCCTTCTCGATGCCGATGATCTCACTGCCAGTAGAGAAGAAGATGGTGAGGTTGGAGGGGCAGAGGCCAGAGTGGTTGAGGTAGCGCTTGAGACACCACTAACTATGCTAACATTTCCTTCTCTCGCCTTAGGTGCAGGTGGCCTCTCAATATTCGTGATCCCTTCAAGCATTTGCACTACTTTCCCCATTATAGGCCTCTGTGAAGGTTGCTCTTGAATACACCAAAAGCTCACTTGAATTGCCCTGCTTAACTGCTCCATATCAACCTCCCCACCAAGCCTTTTATCAACTATACTCTCAATTCTTCCACTATCAAACTCCTCGTAAGCCCACATCGAAAACTTCTTGTGCCCTGTTTCTTCTGATACATCGAAGTTCCTTCTCCCTCCAATTGTCTCTAATAAAACCATCCCATAACTATATACATCAGATTTTGAAGTTATAGGAAGATTTGCAAGCCATTCTGGTGCTAAGTACCCTCTCGTTCCCCTAACACTTGTAAGGGTTCGAAACCGATGATCTTTTGGATTGATAAGCTTAGCCAACCCAAAATCAGAGACTTTAGCTGTGTTATTATCATCCAAAAGAATGTTTTCTGGCTTGATATCACAGTGAACTATGCAATCTCGACACTCCTCATGCAAGTAAGTTATGCCTCTTGCTGTTCCAAGAGCAATATTGAACCTAGCTTCCCAATCAAGATTTACCAACGCCTCCAGACCATGAAACAAGAAGCAATCAAGAGACCCATTTTTCATGAACTCATAAACCAGAAGCCTGTGTTTCCCTTCTGAGCAAAAGCCTATCAATCGGACCAGATTCAAATGGTGGGTGCTACTTATTGTGGCTACCTCCATTCTAAACTGCTTCTCCCCTTGCTCGATCCCTTCTAGCCTCTTCACTGCAACCACTGTATTATTAGCAAGAACCCCTCTATAAACAGCCCCAAAACCGCCAGCCCCAAGCTTCTCTTTAAACCCTTTTGTCGCCTTCTGCAACTCTTTGTAAGAAAACTGAACTGGGGCGCCTGATGCATACTCCAAAAGGGCATATTGAGCTGATAAAGCCCCAAATTTCTTATTGTTCCTGCAGAAACAGAACCATAGACCTGTTTCTATAGCAACAAGAGCTAAAATCGTGACTAAAACCACTAATAAAACTACCCAAACTGTGAGCTTAGAGGCTCTGATTTTGTTCTGGTTATGAGATTGAAGGGACTGGTTAGGAATACCAGCGCCACAGATCTTAACAAATGAAGTGCTCGGAAGATTGGGTGACTGGTAGCCACTTACAAAGTTTGAAAGCATCTGCAGACATTGGCCTGATCCATCACCAAGAGAGGTTGAAAACTGACAGGTCGAATCCACAAGGCAATTCAATCGACACGGGTTGACACCCATGAAGAAAGTTTGACTCCGTAAACCAGTATTAATGCTAAAGAACTCAGTGTGATCCAATGGAAGCATGGAAGTATTACCAGAACAAGCAGCGAGCTCCAGTTTCCTTTTGCACCCCTTTCTCGAATCATTGGGATCGACTGGATCAAAATCCTGTGATGGACAAATGCATATTGGATTTGTATCATTGTACGTGCAAATACCCATGTTTCCACAATAGCCATAGACCTTGCATTGATCTTCAACAGCTGACCATTGAGGATTCAAGCTTGTAGTGGTTCTTGGCGAGCTATATGATCTGAGATTACCATCTGAATCGAGCCTTACCAGTCTTATAATATCCGCACTCTCTGCATAGTCGTTACTGTAGGCCATGGTAACTGGTGGGGAGAAAGATGGGTCAGAGAGAATCAAGAGCCCTTCTTGCCCGAGAGATAACACAGGGTTTGACAAATTTCGAGCAAACGTCGAGTTCAGGCCCTCGCTCCAATAAGTGACGTTGTTTTGCCAAGTTAGGGTGAGGTTCCCAGTTTTATTGAGAGAGAAAGAGTAAGACCCTGAAGTCAATTTCATGCCTAGAGTGAAGTTTTGGTCTTTCATGATCGTATCAGTTGGGTTTTTGAAGGTTTCCCATATCGAAGAGCTTGAATTTCTGAGGATGAAGTTCCCTGATTCCTCGAGAGTTGCAGAGGAGACACCCATGTTTGCAGTTCCTGATTCCCAAACTTGGGCTCCTGAACCATTGATTAGGCGAAGGTTTCCATTAGAGAGAAGAGAGAGAGACGCCCCTGAATCCACAGGTTGAGGACCTGAAGTCCATATGATTCCAGCTGAGAAGAAAACCCCAAGAAGATAGAGATTGGGGTCAGAGGGAGAGGCCATGAAACCAAAGGAGAAGGTGGAGCTGGGTGAATTCCATGTTCCACTTGGAGCTCTAAGGACTGAGTTAAGGGGAATGGTACATGAAATTGGGGGCGCTATGATGAATAAAGAGAGAGAAAGAAGGATGGGGAACCAGAAAGGTGACATTTTTGGGAGAAGTTGCATCTGCTTCTTCTCTGACGGTTCTGCTCTGAAACTAGAGTTCAAAGAGATAAACTGATTGCTTTGGTGGGTAGAGAACAAGAGCTGGTTTTCTGATTTTCTCGCCCTGCAAGGGGAGGATAAATGGGAAGGGAAGTTCAAACTTCAAAGTTCACATCAAAAAGTCCAGTCTCTTTGAGAGAGAGCGAGAGAGAATTCAAACGTCAAGAGTCTGGTTTTTTAGTGGGGGTGAGAGAGAGACTTCAGCTGAGTGTCTGTTCTTCTCGCCCCGAAATGGACGCAACCAGGGGTGGTAAAGCTTAAAGAAAGGCCGATGCTTTTGTAGAGAGAGACTCAATGATACTATGAATTTTGAATCAAACTGAGAAAGACTCTGGTTTTGTAGAGAGAGACTCAAGGATACTATGAATTTTGAATCAGAGTAAGAAAGACTGGTTTTTGAAAGAGAGAGAGACACAAGGATAATATGAATTTTGAATCAGACTGAGAAAGACTCTGGTTTTAGAGAGAGAGATAGACTCAGAGGGGTGGTCTTTTAGAGAGAGAAAATGAGTGTGTGGCCATGGTGCAGCGCATGCCGTGCACGGAACAAATAAAAGTCGTCGCTGATTTTTGCTCTCTCCACTGACTTGAAACATTGACGATGATGCCCCTCTTATTTCCTACGAATTACAGGACTAGTCTAATCTCTTCGTATCTAATCCAAAGAAGTTAAAATGAACGGTGATGCATCGAGTTTACACGCAATGAATGCCATTAGGACTATAACGTATCAAACAAAAGAGAACAAGAAAGGAAAAACAATTGCGTCATCAGCCGTGGTCTTTTACTAGGTCTTTGTGTTATTTTGGTATAAATACTAGGTCTTCTTCATCAGGTTAAATTAAATTATGTTTCTAGAAATAAAATATATTTATTTAGTATTGTGGAGATTTAGTAATTGTTCATATCTCTTAAGTGCATAGATATATTTCCCTAACTTAAAATAGATTACTACTATGTTCAATTTTATGCTTTAATCCTTTAGTTTTTCTTTATTTTGGAACTACCACCATTCTAGACATTCAATTCCCAAACACGTGTCTTTAGTTTTTCCTTCTTTTTTTTTTAAGTAAAAAAGTGAATAATATAAATAATGAGACTATTTTTTATACAAAGAGGTCACAATCATCTGTTAGATTTGAAATCAAGTAATTGAGGAAATATCATTCTTAAATGTTGTGACACATTTTCATTATTGGATTTCACATTCAACGGCCAAAAGTAATTGTACCTCCATGCATCAAAAATAAATGGTCTCATAATATACAAACTCAAAAGTAAATCGTCAGTTGGATATCAAAATCAATTTTTTTGAGTGAAAAGATCAATTCAAAAATCATATGACAAGTGGGTAGTTTGGACATAGAATGCCTGAACATCCTGCTTGTCATTTTTTTTAGTGAAAATGCAGTTCAAATATTGCATTAGAGCCTGCCATAAAAATTGGTTTAAACATCTAAATTTTAAACCGTCTTTTCATTTGAAAAAATACACTAGTTTTAGATGTCCATAGTCTAAATTAATTTTTCATTAAAAAAAAAAAAGAGAAATGAATAATTTGTAGATTGGATATTCAAGCTACCCCACTTGTCATTTTCTTTATTGAGAAAAGCGGTTCGAACATTAGACGTTTGAATGAATTTTTTTACTCCAAAAAGTTCGTTTGAATATCCAATGTTCAAACCTATTTTCTACTTAGAATAAGATAGCAGTTTGGAGATTAAATGTCTGAGGGGGATGGTTTGGAAATAAAAAGAATACTTACTAATAAAATAAAACTTATATGGGACAATTTTTAATAGTGCAAAATGACATGAAATTAGTGGTCAACCGAGAAAAAATACAAAAGAACTCATATCTAATGTTATTATTGTATCATTTGGGAAGAAAAATAATTAACTATTTATTGGGAAAAATGTTGAAGAAGATAAAATATACGATACAACTTAAAAGTCGGTAAAAATGACAAAAATCTAATCAACTTGTCACAAATGATTAATAATTTATCACCAAACATCCTAAGAGAAGGAAAAAGAAGGAGGTATTTAACATGGTGAACATCAATACTAAAGATCTTATTTCCAATACTTTTTGATGATAGATTGTTAAGAAGATCCTTTCAATAGAAGCATGAACCTATGCCCTAGGCGGCTGTCTACCTTAGATGAGCCAAGTCTCTCTCTCTCTCTC